AGGAATGTGTGCGGGGCAGCTCGCACGGTGGCCTGCGATCCTGGCTAGGACTTCTTTGTTGGAATGCCTAATTTGAGATCCGTGAGCCCTTCGATGCCGGAGGGGGTGGGGCTTCCGCGAAGCGCAGTTGCGAAGACGCACTCCGTGGCAGGGCTTCCGTGAAGCGCGGTTGTGAAGACGCATTTTGTGGCGTGGTGTTCGCGAGACCTGCGCTAGTGTCACGTGAGGGAGGAGGGGAGGAGGGAGAAACAGGGGGCGATCGAGGTGGACCATCTAGCGGCTGTCGTTCATCCAATCAAAGGGTTGCATGGCGACCGCCGAAATTTGGGCTGGTCGACCGGCGCCTAGCATTACCCTTTCTTTTTTTGGTTTTGTGCAATACGAAGATATAAGACCACAATATTGTACAATAACAACTGCATGTGCCACAGCCATGTGTTTCTCTCTTCAAACATCTGCAACATTGCTTCACATTCTTTTGTGGGGATGTAGAGCCAGTATGAGCACCATATTTAACTCCACTTCATCATAAGAAAGCAACAAGAGAGTCAATTTGTATCATTGATCCAATATTGTCTTCTCTATGATCTGAATTGTTAGCTTTGATAGCACTGTTTAAATATATTTGTGGGTCATTTCCAGCCGTGAAGCTCTTGTTCATTTAAGTTATGTATCTTGTAACTTATACGTTATCAATTCATTTTCTTTCATTTGTACCCCCGGGAAACTCGAACTCAGTCACTCTTGCTTCATCGAATCTGTAGACCTACTTCCTATTTTACACAATATTTGTTTGATTTCATCAACTTCTAAAAGCGAATTATACATGTAAAAGATCTCTTGGTGTTGTATTCTTGTACTGTTCATACTTCAGGTGGACTCAGTTTCTAATAGTATCCTTGGTAACTTTCCACCAATTTCTAGTAATGTTATCCTTGGATTACGCAGAAAATTGTAGATTGGCTTGCTAGCACCTTCAAGAATGATGAAGGCATCGATCTTCTTAAGGATAAACAAGCCCTTCAGCGTCTTACTGAGGCAGCAGAAAAAGCTAAGATGGAATTGTCAACGCTCACACAGGCGAACATTAGGTATTTTTCTACAGAAATTTTGTATGGTGCTCTATTTGCTCAGCTGGAGATGTCTCCTTTAAACAGTTGACTGTCTTTGACTGCAGCTTGCCATTCATAACTGCTACTGCTGATGGGCCCAAACACATTGAGGCAACCCTCTCTAGAGCTAAATTCGAGGAACTGTGTTCAGATCTGATTGATAGGTAAACATGAACGTTCTATCAATTCGCAAAGCTTATACAATATTTTTTGTGCACTAGTTCTGCATTTTCTCATATTTTTGATGGCTTCACTCATCACTACTTCTGTCTTCTATTGATAGGCTTAAAACTCCTGTTAATAACGCCTTGAAAGATGCCAAGCTATCTGTTAGTAATCTAGATGAAGTGATTCTTGTGGGTGGATCCACCCGAATCCCTGCAGTGCAAGAAACTGTTAGGAAGATTACAGGCAAGGATCCCAATGTTACAGTCAACCCTGATGAGGTTGTTTCTCTTGGGGCGGCCGTACAGGTTATTTTCTTTTCCCCCAAATTTACATTTCTTTTGTTGCTCTTTGCACCTTGTGACCTATGAGGTCACAGGTTCGAGTCCTGGAAACAGCCTCTCGCAGAAATGCAGGGAAAGGCTCTGTACAAAAGACCCAAAGTGGTCGGACCCTTGCCCGGACCCTGCACAAGCGGGAGCTACGTGCACCGGGCTGCCCTTTTTGTTGCTCTTTGCAGAGCATAATCTCTAGTCCTTTTTTTAGAGTTTCACATAGTAGTCTTGTACACATGTTTCCTTAAAGTACCAATGGTCAATTTAGTTACATTTCAAGTAGCTCCCAAAGCATGTACAGTGCAAGACCATATTTAACTTAGCAACATACGTAACACCTCATGTATTACCCTATTCCCTGAAACACCAGGGTGGAGTTTTGGCTGGAGATGTGAAGGATGTTGTTCTTCTTGATGTTACTCCATTGTCAATTGGTTTGGAGACGTTGGGTGGAGTGATGACGAAGATTATCCCCAGGAATACAACACTGCCCACCTCCAAATCAGAGGTATTCTCAACGGCTGCTGATGGACAGACAAGTGTTGAGATTAATGTGCTCCAGGGAGAGAGAGAGTTTGTCAGGGACAACAAGTCTCTTGGAAGCTTCCGACTGGATGGGATCCCTCCTGCACCACGTGGTGTACCACAAATTGAAGTGAAGTTTGACATTGATGCCAATGGCATTCTGTCAGTAGCAGCTGTTGATAAGGGTACTGGAAAGAAGCAGGATATCACCATCACTGGTGCTAGTACTCTACCAAAGGATGAGGTATGCTATCAATGATTATGCTTTCCAGCATTTTGTGTGACTGACTGCACTAAACTCTCGTTGTTTTGGTAATTAGTTATGAAATTTGTTAGTTTTTTTTGTCATGTCAGCAATGTAGTGCGCTTGTTTTCTCAGTGGTACGCAGTGTTGTTAGAATTCATTTTAGTGTTAGAGTATGTACAATGGTTGATAAAATAGTCTTATCTTAAGTCTTGACATGTAATTTAGAGATAACAAAAAACATGTCTACAATGGGTCATCTCTTAGCCATATCTTCAATAACTAGCTATTCCTAAAAACATGGTGAGACATATTGTGCTAAGAGATCATCTCTTGTCTTCTCTTAAATAAGGTAAGACAAGCCTTTTCTTATGATTTCTCTTTCCTCCACCTCATCATTTATCCTATGTGGCATTCCTAAGATAGAATCATTGTACACGCCCTTATGTTCTTTAATTATCCCTTGATTTCCAATCTGCTCTGTTGCTATTTATCGCACCAAATCTGTTATGATGTTACTTTCATGCATGCATGCACCAGTCTCTCTGTTTCACAATCTAAGTTGTGGTGTTTCCGGAAGAGAAGGGTTTGACCATCTACTCATATGTTGTTTATGTGAACATTAATAATCATAAGTTGTTGTAAATATGAATTAATGCCATACTAACTTTTATGCCCGATAATAAAGTATATAGTAATAGAGGAATTTATTCGTCAAACCCATGAATTCTTAATGAATCGTAATATGCGTTATATTGAAAAATGGAGTATGTTGCACATAATCCTTGGATAGTAAATGGGTAGTGTATTTGTCCTCTTGTACAGCCTTGTGGGGTTTAATTGGCAAACAAAGAATTGATGCCATTGTGATCTGTTCATTGTATGTTTTGGCATGCTCTGCACTCCAGAAAGAAAGAAAAAATGCCTGTGCTGGTGCATAAACATGCCTTCTGAGACATTTTGTTTTGCAGGTCGAGAGAATGGTAGAAGAAGCTGACAAGTTTGCCCAGGAGGACAAAGAGAAAAGAGATGCTATTGACACCAAGAACCAAGCAGACTCTGTGGTGTACCAGACGGAGAAGCAACTGAAGGAGCTTGGGGACAAGGTCCCTGCTCCTGTGAAAGAGAAGGTTGATGTAAAGCTCCAGGAACTGAAAGATGCCATTGCTGGTGGATCGACACAGAGCATGAAAACTGCCATGGAGGCTTTGAACCAGGAGGTAATGCAGATCGGACAGGCTATGTACAACCAAACTAGTGCTGGTGATGCTGGCTCTACTGATGCTGAAACTGAGCCTGGTGCTGGATCAACAAGCTCAGGAAAGGGACCAAATGATGGAGATGTTATCGATGCGGACTTCACAGATAGCAATTAAAGGATGGTCAATGGATCGTGGTGAGTGATACATAGACCCTGAGTTATATTCTGAGTGGCATTCTAGGGTTGAGGATGTTATTTTTGTATCTCGGCTCCATGTATCTACAAGCTGTTTATTCAGTATATGAAATTTGGTAGCGGTAGGACTCAACAACGTTTGCTAGAGTGATCTTGAATCAAGTATACCCCTCTGGTAATGCAAAGATGCAAAAGGATTTTGGTCGAAACAGTAGCATATTCCCTAAAAAGTAAACTAGCCATGTTTAGGTTAGCAATAAACGAAGTTTCATGGTGTACCTAATGTTATCGTTATATAACAGATCATGGTGCATCTAAGTTTCATGGTTTATCTATTGGGATTTTTATTATAGAACTTATCTTGATATGAGTTTGTCATCTGGTTGATGAAGAAATAATTATTTTTCTTTTATGTTTTCCCACTAAACATGACAAGGATTTAAATGGACTTCCAATGGACAGCTGCTATTAAGTGCACAATTGCTTTGAAACACATCAAGGAATCCGAAATTTAGCATGCCACAGGCGCTATTTCCACTAATTCGTGGGTGTTTATCTGGCACCATATATGCATTTGCAAAGTTTGGTGCAAAAGTACAAGTACATGCGCCATACATAAAATAAATATCTTCAGTCTTGCTATTCTTTAGTGTGTGATATCTTCTATTCTGATGAGTTTGTCTGATTGCATGCTTATAGTAGCTTTTCTTCAGCCAGTATTCTTCTGTTGTTTGGTGTTTGTTACTTCTTTGAAGAAATAGTTTGTTCGAAGAATTTGATAAAAAATCTCTTCACCCCCTCCCCTTTTGGTCGATTGAACGCTCTTTCAGGGTGAGTACATGTGAGAATAAGAGATGCGACAAGGACCCTGTCATTTTTCGGCTGCATGAATGTTTCCCCATCCTTCTCACATGCAGATTCATGCATGCACTACAAGATAAAACTAATGTCATTTTTTTTACCAAAATTCAAAATAATTTCTAGCTCAACTAAAAGAATCCAATTCAAAATACCCAAGCCTCTATTCCAGGCAAGGTTTTTGCCCCAACATTCATCCACTTGGATGAAAGTGACCCATGGTGAATTTTGGGCTTGGCACATGGTATTATTTTGGTAAATAGCTGTGTACAAACGCTTTGTGGATTCGGTCTTTAGTTTCAAATTTTTTGAACTTGTGTGCTGAATTCTTGGGTGCGGTTGGGTGCGGTTAGCGATTTTGCCGCTCTATGGTGAAAAACGGTGCCGCTTCCATCACCTGATCTGGAGGGTTTTTGCTGTTGAGGCATATCTCTTTCAAGGTAGTTTTGGTGATTGATGACAACATGTTTGCGGACTAACCATGTGCTTTGAGTAGTTCACAGATTCATCCTTGGCACGAGACGTTTTTTCCTTTCGAAGTGTCATTCAAAACGGTGTAGCTTTTTCGTTTATCTCTTGGTGGACTAGTTGCGTAGAGGGCATCGTACTATCAAGAGGGGGTCCGCAGGGGTATTGCATGGGTGGAATCAACACGTACACATCAGCTTCTCACCCTCCGAGCTCTTCCACTTGTTGGAAGAGATCTTTTCTCTTTTCTATGTCCTGTCTGGGTTCCAGCGGTAGTACCGCAACCCAGCGGTAGTACCGCTGAGGAGCCACAAGCGGCAGTACCGCTCCGCAGCGGTAGTACCGCCCATGACTCCACATCAGTAGTACCGCTGGGGTGCCTGGCACCACCGCCTCGTCCTCAGCCTCTATGGAGAGATCCTCTCTCTCTTCTGCGTCCCAGTGGTAGTACCGCACTACCAGTGGTAGTACCGCCGAAGGGTCACAAGCGGCAGTACCGCTCCGCAGCGGTAGTACCGTCCGTGACCTCGCTGCCGTAGTACCGCTGGGCTGTCTGGCTTCTACCGCCTTGACTCGAGGGCTCTTTTTCTCGTGTCGGGTTTTGCGGCACTAGTTGCGGTTGTAGTGGCGGTAGTACCGTTTCAGAAGCGGTAGTACCGCCCTTACCACCGCGGTAGTACCGCGCTGGGTCCAATTCCCTACTAGTCTTCTCTACGCGGCAGTACCGCTGGCTGGAGCGGCAGTACCGCTGGCTGGAGCGGCAGTACCGCTGGACTAGCGGTAGTACCGCCCCCTCTCAGCGGTAGTACCGCCCTGTGCGGGGCTGGTTGGTGGGGCAACGGTTGGTTTGTTGCCCCCACTATAAAAGGGGGTCCCCTTCTTCTCCTTTGACCTATCTCTCCCCCCTCAAGCTCCATTAATGCTCAAGCTCCATTAAATGCTCCAAGCTCCATTTTCGCCCGATCTATCTCTCTAGCCAATCAAACTTGTTGATTTTCTCGGGAGTGGTTGAGAAGGCCCCGATCTACACTTCCACCAAGGGATTTTTGATTCCCCCACTCATCCCTAGCGGATCTTGTTACTCTTGGGTGTTTCAGCACCCTAGACGGTTGAGGTCGCCACGGAGCCATAGTCCATTGTGGTGAAGCTTCATGGTTTTGTTGGGAGCCTCCGATTAAGTTGTGTAGATTGCCCCAACCTTGTTTGTAAAGGTTCGGTCGCCGCCTTAAGGGCACCAATAGTGGAATCACGGCATCTCGCATTGTGTGAGGGCGTGAGGAGAATACGCTGGCTCTAGTGGCTTCTTGGGGAGCATTGTGCCTCCACACCGCTCTAATAGAGACGTACTTCCCCTCAAAAGGAAGGAACTTCGGTAACACATCCTCGTCTTCACCGGATCCACTCTTGGTTATCTCTTACCTTTACTTGTGCAAGCTCTTTAATGTTACTTCTCTTGCTTGCTTGTATGCTTGTTGTTATTGCATCATATAGGTTGCTCACCTAGTTGCACATCTAGACAACCTTCTTTGATGCAAAGTTTAATTTGATAAAGAAAAGTTAAAAATTGGTAGTTGCCTATTCACCCCCTCTAGTCAACCATATCGATCCTTTCAATTGGTATCAGAGCCTCGTCTCTTTATTAAGGACTTTACCGTCCAAAGAGTATGGTTGATACCGTAGACGATGTGGAGGACACTCCGGTGTGAATCCGACCTCGTCTACGGGCGATGGGGGAATCTTGGTCTCTCGTGAGGAGTTCAATGTGGCCTTGGAGACATTGAAAACCTCCATGACGACCGAGGTGGAAATCATGTTTACTAAATTTCTTGAGGGGCTTAAACTATTCACCGCACCGTTGAAAGTGGGTGACCCCACCGACAAGGTGACGAATGCTATCCCCGACAAGGGGGAAGCTAGTAGTGAAAAGGCTCCTTCTTCTAGTGGTAAAAATGGCACCGGCATCTTTGCTCATGTGGAACCACCACTTGTTTATGGTGGACCGGTTCCTTCTACTCATTTGAATCATGCCGGTCCTCCCCCTAAGATTGTGAAAAATGAGGACTTTGATTCTTGGGTTTACCGCTTTAAACATCATTTAAATCATGTGAACACTAACCTTTGGAGAATCATTGAAGAAGGTTTCTATCCGCATGATCCAAGCAACTTCACTCCTCGAGAAGCCGCGGATAATCAATTCAATGAGAATGCTCTCTTCATCATTCAAGATGCAATTCCACCCAAAGACCTACCTCATCTTCGTCCTTTCGCCTTGGCCAAAGATGCATGGCATTGTGTTGTCTCTCTCTACTGGGGAAGCGCAAGCATTCAATGCTCCAACTATGAAGTGGTGCAAGATAAGGCCGATGTGTTTGCTATGAAAGAAGATGAAGAACCTCGTGAGCTTTATCGGAGAGTAACCAAACTCGCGGTCTCACTACGAGATCACGGGAGCAAGGATACGGATGACAATTGGATCAAGCGCAAATTCCTCAAGGCAATGATGCCCCACCACAAGGCCATGTCCTCCGTCATTCGTCAAAGACCGGACTTCCACACTTTGACCTCAAGCGAAGTGTTGGATGAGTTTGTGGCCATGAATATTTTGGATAAGACCGCCGACAATGCGGTGCTCCGTTCTCAACGGGCAAAGAAGCCTAACCTTGCATTGAAGGCCAAGCTCACCTTTGAAGAAGAAGAAGAGGAAGAAGAGGAGAGCAACCCCGAAGATACGAAGTATGCGTATCATGAACACATGGCACTTGCTTCAAGGCAATTTTGGAGCAAGAAAAACTCGAGGCCAAACTTTAGCAAAAACAACTCAAGTGGCATGAAGAGCAAGCAACGTGTAAGGACTTGCTACAATTGCGGCAACGTGAGTCATTTTGTCGCGGAGTGCCCGTATGAGAAGAGGGAAGACAATGGTGGCAAGCTCATCCGAAAGGACAAGGCCAAGTCGTTCCCCAACAAGAGCAACTTCACCAAGAAGACTCCTCCCAAGGCATTGGTGGTACAAGAAGAGTACAATGAGGATGATGACAATGATGAAGGTGATGAGTCGGTTGCCATGGCCTCCATTGCCATTGCGACGACTTCACGGGTGTCTCTCTTCGACTCACCCAATGAGAGCATCACCGCCAAGTGCCTCATGGCTAAAGCCACCAACAAGGTAACCTCCAACATCAAAACTACCATCATTAATCATCCTTCTCCGACGGATAGCATTAATGAACTAGAGGGAGCTAATATCGAGGCTAATGAGTTTGAGGCCTTTGTGGGCAAACTCAAGGGAAAATCCAAGAAGCACTTTGTTGCTCTCTTGGAACAACTTGGTGAAGCCAATGACATGATCGAGGCTCACGAAGACACCATCACTAAGATGGAAGGGCATAGTTGTGACTATGCCGATGAGATTTCGGATCTTTCCAATGCTCTTGAGGAAGAGCGTGGTCTTCGTTTGGCTCTTGAGGAGTCACACAACGTTGATCATGCTAAGTTAAAGAAAGATTATGATCATGTCCTCATTGTTTCTCATGTGCTAAACTCCGAGAAGGCCGAACTTGAGGTTGATCTTGCTAGACTCAAAGAGGAGTTTGATCTACTTGACAAGGCTCACAAGGTCTTGAAGGGTGCTCATGCTAGCCTCAAAGAGTCTCA